AGCTGGAGATGTGCTGTGTGTGTGTGTGTGTGTGTGTGTGTGTGTGTGTGTGTGTGTGTGTGTGTGTGTGTGCACAGTGAACTTGTGACCCTCAGCGACTCGTTGCTCTCTCACTGGGGACGCTGACAGTGTGCACTTGGCCCAAATGCCTCACGCGTTGCCGACACTTTGAGAAGGGCACTTCTGCCATACACTGAGGGATCCAAAGCCCTTTGTCAACTTGACCGGCGCCACCCAAGAGCTCAACGAGCGAACAAGATGTCGAACCTCGAATCTCCTCCGCCCAAGAAGAGCGGCCTCCGCAAACTTCAGACGCGACACACAAACCTTCATCGCCTCCCTTCATCACACATCCCGTCTCGCCTGCGCCTGGGAGACGATGCCCAAGAAGACGTGACGGCCCCCAATCGAGGCTCAAATATGCCTGCCCAATACATGAATCAATCCATCTTTTCCATGATCGCGGCCGCCGGGTCGCGAACCGACTTCAACACGAGATTTGACGAGTCTAGCGATAGTGAAGATGAGATCCCGGAGGAACAAGCACAGACAGCCACCGATGATGCATCCCTCCCGGTTACTTCAGAGACAGGGTCAAAAGAGACACAATCTGTGGCAACAAAGGACGATAAAAGTAGCAGTGACAAGAAGAGCAAGCGTCTTTCAAGTCAGCGATTAGTCCAGTCGTTGCCACGTCTCACAGGACGATCGATCCGGAGGAAAGAGGGCACGCCCCAACAAGATCCAAGTCCTGGAAGCGATGTGACCTCCGAGTCTTCGAGGAGCAATCCGCGAGATGCACCTGTTCTCAGTCGCTTGATAACTGCAGAGGCCCAGTTCCAAGAGAGTGCGGAAGGTCAAGATCCTATGCAACCATCTCCTACAGCCCTGAGGTCTAGAAGCAGAGGCGTATCGACGCCGCAGACTCTTCTTGCGACACGGCTGATGGAAATCTTCGGGTTTGAAGAGCCCGAGCCCGTGGTGGCAGAATATCCGTGTTGGCTATTGCAGAGCGTGCTCCTACAGGGCTATCTTTACATCACAAAGCAACACATTTGTTTCTATGCCTATCTGCCCAAGAAGTCGCACACCGTTGTCAAAACCGGATATCTCTCAAAGAAGGGCAGGACGACTTCCAAATACAAAAGATACTGGTTTTCCCTCAAAGGGGATGTACTGTCCTACCACTCCGATGCCTCAAACCTCTATTTCCCTTCCGGAAATATCGACCTCAGATATGGCATATCTGCTAATCTCTCCACCGAGAAGGACAAAGGCAAGTCCAAGGACTGCAAAGATTTCTCTGTCACGACAGACCATCGCACATATCACTTTCGAGCAGATACCACTTCGAGCGCTAAGGAATGGGTGCAGACTCTTCAGAAGACAATCTTCCGCTCTCACAATGATGGTGACAGCGTCAAGATTTCCTTACCAGTGGAGAACATCATTGATTTCGAGGAGAGCCCGGTGGTCGAATTCGCAGAGACGGTCAAGATCAGAGTGATTGAAAGCGAGGATTCCTACGCTATCGATGAAGTAAGGGCCCTTATCTTACCAATCCTTGTTTAGCGCGACGCTGACTTTTACAGTATTTCTTCTCCTTCTTCAGCTTTGGCCAAGATGCACTCCACGTTCTCGGAAGCCTGATCACCGAGGCTCCAGCTAGGAGGACGTCGGAAGATGTACTTTCGCCGACAAGAAAGGTCGAGCCTTGGTCCAGCCCCCGACCTAGACCAATCCCACATCGGACTTCTTCCGATGTTGTCGCCGGGAGTCCAAGGGCTCAATCGAGTCCTCCTCTCAAAGACAGTGTCAGAGCTACTCTGATCCCATTCTCTGTCGGAAATGATGGTAGACTATCTCCGAGAATAAGCGGAGAGTTTCCTCGCGGCAATAGTCCTTCACGTTCTAGCAACGAGTTTACGGGGGAATACGGTCGTGCCAGTTTCGAAAGAGGCCGCAGAAGTGGAAGTACGAGTCGTCTCGAGGCGAGCAACTCCAAGCGAACGACCCAATCACCGTTAGCGAGACATCACGACTCTGAAGATTCATATGTCCAATCTATCGACAAGGAAACAGACTCGTCTACCGCGCCCTTATCGCCGCGCGCAGAAGCACAAATGTCCGCTAGCCAAATCTTGACAAGGAGCGATGTTTTTCACCAGCCGGCCGTTCACCGAATGGAAACTTTGGCATCTATATCTACTGAACCTACGAGAAAATCATCAGAAGGGGGGACAATCCTGTCAAGCTCTCCACAGCGAGGAGATACGTTTCCCGTCCCGATCCGAGGCACTCATCAGCCACACACAGACCGCCGGGGGAATGTTCAACATGAATACCTCTCGTCAGAACTAGAACCCGGCAAAAATTATGTTAGGGACAGTTCCTCACCCACTCTTCAGGATCTTGTGAAAGCCGGATCTTACCCTCTGCAACGAGCTGGAGCTTTCGCCGACTACCTCAAAAGCCGGTCCAGTTCAATGAGAAAACTTCTCGCCACCGAGTCTATGTCATATCTGGAGAAAGTATCGGGTATGTGGGCGGGGAGTAGGAAGCACTATGGAGAAAACGAGGGTGTCGTCCCTGATGACAGAGGCGTCGATCCCGAAGATGAAGAAGCCAACGTCGGCCATGGCGATCGCTTTCGCGCACATTTCGCATTGCCTGTCACTGAAAAACTACAAGCAACTTACTTCGGGTTCCTGCACCGCGTGCTCCCCCTGTACGGCAAGATATACATCAGCAATCGGAAATTCTGCTTTCGAAGTCTCCTACCTGGGACGCGGACAAAGCTGGTTCTCCCATTGAAAGACATTGAGAACGTCGATAAGGAGAAAGGCTTCCGGTTCGGCTATCACGGTCTAGTCTTGGTGATTCGCGGTCACGAGGAATTATTCTTCGAATTCAGCTCGGCCGAACATCGAGATGACTGCACAGTGACGCTACTGCACAGTCTGGAAACAGCTCGATATATGGCAGAATCGGGCGTCCTTGCAAAGGCAGATGAAGATGACGCAGAAATCGCCAAAGAAGAGCACCGCAAGCTTCAAGAAGCCCGTCGTTCCTCCACAACTGGTGATCATGCTCTGGTCTTGCCCGATACAGCTGAAGCTATCTACAGCCACAAGGATGAGGAGCCTTCGGGCCCAGTGCTGTTCGACGACCCTCGCTCCTCTATCATCAACTTGTCCAAACCTAGTGATTCACTTCGCATTACGTGTCTCACAATTGGCTCAAGAGGCGACGTGCAGCCTTATATTGCCTTGTGCAAGGGCCTCCTAGCAGAAGGCCACCGGCCGCGTATCGCCACGCATGCTGAGTTTGGCCCCTGGATCCAGAAGCATGGGATTGATTTCAGACCTGTGGATGGTGACCCGGCCGAGCTGATGCGCATCTGTGTTGAGAATGGCATGTTTACATACTCGTTTCTACGAGAAGCCTCGGCCAAGTTCCGCACATGGATCGACGAACTTCTGACTTCAGCCTGGGCTGCATGTCAAGAGTCGGATCTATTGATCGAATCACCTTCAGCCATGGCGGGCATCCATATCGCCGAAGCCCTGGGCATCCCTTACTTTCGCGCATTCACTATGCCGTGGACGCGCACGCGTGCATATCCGCACGCCTTTGCCGTTCCGGAACACAAAATAGGGGGAGCGTACAACTACTATTCATACGTCATGTTCGATAATGTGTTCTGGAAGGCTATTGCGGGACAAGTCAATCGCTGGCGCAAGAAGGAATTAGGCTTGAGGAGCACCAATCTCGACAAGATGCAGCCCAACAAAGTGCCCTTCTTGTACAATTTCAGCCCGCATGTGGTGGCACCGCCTCTGGATTATAGTGACTGGGTCAGAGTGACGGGCTACTGGTTTCTTGACGAAGCCTCGGACTGGACGCCACCTAGCGAACTGACCGATTTCATCAAAAAGGCTCGAGACGACAAGAAAAAGCTGGTGTATATTGGGTTCGGAAGCATCGTCGTCTCTGATCCCGCCGCACTCACCAAGACAGTCGTGGACTCGGTCCTCAAGGCCGACGTGCGTTGCATCCTCTCCAAGGGCTGGTCCGATCGCCTCGGCGATCCGCAAGCTCTCAAGACTGAGGTTCCGCTGCCCCCGGACATTTTCCAGATCAAGTCCGCGCCGCACGACTGGTTGTTCCGCCAGATTGATGCGGCGTGCCATCACGGCGGCGCGGGGACCACCGGCGCCAGTCTCCGAGCGGGACTTCCGACGGTGGTGAAACCGTTTTTCGGGGACCAGTTCTTTTTTGGATCGAGAGTGGAGGATCTCGGCGTGGGTATCTGCTTGAAGAAGGTCAACGTAAGCGTGTTCTCAAGGGCGCTTTGGGAGGCGACGCACAGCGAGCGGATGATTGTGAAGGCGAGGTTGTTGGGAGAGCAGATTCGCAAGGTGAGAGAGATATCTCCCTTTTTTCATTTTACCTTGGATGATGAGTCACTTGGTATTGTTCTTGAGGACAAGAAGCGGAACTTGTGTGTGAAGAGATGTGCTAATGCTGTGCTGCAGGAGAACGGCGTGCAAACCGCCATTCAAGCAATCTACCGCGACCTCGAATACGCACGATCGCTAGTCAGGGCCCGCGCCGCGATCCAACAACGGGGCGCCGCCGCAGCAGCTGGAGGAGCAGCTGGGCTTACCGCTATTGACCTCGATGAAGGCGGCAACATTGAGGAGTCCTGGACATTCATCGGAGACGAAAGCGATCCGGACATACAGCGCCGGATCCAGGAGTGGGACACTACGGGGACAGGTCCTACCCCGGCGCGCGGGAGGGCGCCTCGAGTAAGCCTGGATCGAGTGAAGCTGGGTGCTATGCAGGGTGTCGAACCGGTCAGAAAGGCGAGTGTCAAGCGGTAATCAAGACGACGAAATCGTTGGCAATAAGAGGCCGAGATCATCATTCGAAACACGTACGACGCTGGATTTGGGTAGGACAAAGGGAGAAAGCAGGACAAATACAAAATGACTGAGTGTCCTGGAGGGGTTTGCGATGAGCGATGGGAAACCAGGGAATCATGGGGTGATGTTGATGTGTTGCACAGCGTGGGCGTTTCAGGTGATTTCGTGGGTGCTTGTGATTGTGCTTGTGTTGTGGTTTTCGCATACACCACATGCAGAGTATGTTGGGGCGACCTTTTCCTCTTCTAAGAAGGGTGCAAAGTCTGCTTCTCTGTTTGTGTTTGTACGCGCGTATTTGTTTGTCTCACGATCCGGGATCAATCTGGCGTTTTGTTGGTTCGTTGGGTGCAGAACTCCCATTGACTTTATCGAAAGCTCCCCACATGCAAATCGAGAGCAGCAAGCCATCGGGAGTAAGTACCCGATGTTCTTATTGTCGGATTTCGACCTTTGACGACGTCATGAGTGTCATTTAGACAGATCTAGCGGAAGAGACGGGAGTTGGGCCTTGCGATAGACATGAGATTCAATAAAGGGGTGGACAGAGAGAAGATGGCAATCGGTTTGAAACGCAGGAAGAGATGCATACCGGTATTTTAGACTTTTTAATCTCGATGAAGCTCGATGTTGTGTTTGCTGTCCGTGGTTTTTGGCTTCCGGATTCCTTTTCCATTGGGGTTTTCACGTGTCGCGGCGACGAGAAGGTTAAGGTCGTTGCACCTTACCGCTGGTTCTAACTTCGTTTGGGTCGTGTTGGTGAAAATTCCAAACCTTGACCAAGCTTTACTTGTCTTTGAAGGACATCTCTTCCATAGGAGCGGGAGTTTCAGCTCGAGTTCTGAGCAGGTGGAGTCAACGAAGATTCCCCAAAAGGGCCAAGATGGCATTTCATAGGATGCCCAGTTTGTTGAGGAGGGAAAATTGCATCCTGACAGTCTCTCTAGACAGGCGTAATTGATACAAGTATCTGCAGGTGGATATCACCGAGGCCTTTTAGAATCTGCGAGGCAGCCAGCTCTTCAAACTCGTTGGATGAGATTGTACCTTTTGGCGAGAGGCTCCGCTGACTGCCCCTGACTGCGGAGGGTGACAAATTGTCTGTTTCTCTTTTGTCAGGATGGACGAGCCACAATCGAGCTTGTCAAACAATGATACTCTGACACATTTCTTGAACTCAGCGGTAGGTACTCAGCAACCCCAGTTTGAGGGGGGGGCGCTGTACGTGGCTGTAGGCGACCTGATGTTTTCCGAGTTCGTGCTAGCACCGTCGGTTCATGCCATGCGTCAGACAGTCGCGTGATGGAATGAGGCGAGGTGCATGCAGGCCCCGACGCCACAAGAGCGGAGAGAACAAGTGTGCCCGTAGGTAGACTTGGAACCTGCGTAGAAACTCACGATTTCGGAATACGGCGTACTTGTAGTAAACGCACCCGAGTGTAAGGATCCGTAGAGCTAAGAAGAGGCCTGTGGAGACAGCAAGAGGGATTTTAAATCCGATGCTGGGGTTGTTGTCCGAACCCAGAAGAAAAGTGTGGAGCAAATATTGGATAAATTTCCCGATCTCCAGCCGAGCATGATTGGATGAGGGAAGAGAAAAGGCGGCTGCAGCGAGGAAGAGGAGGAACTATGGGCATTTGTGGAATTTGTGGAAGCTATATCCGGCTGAATATTTTGTAGTGGAGTTGAATGGAGAGGAACAGGAGGCCAATAGCCAGCGGGCCAGGCCGATGTGGTAGTGCTAACGCGTGTATTCCTGGGAGCAGTCAGTATGTACACAGTGAGTCGTACGAGTCAACGATACAAACTACTTGGGCGGAGGATGGACATACCACGTCGGATGTTCGGAGAGAGATGAGATGATGACATGATGTTCAGTGGCAGTGGTGGCGGTGGTGGTGGCGACGAGTACGAGGATGACGTGGACGAGGCAACGAGCAGTCAGATCTTATTTGAGCAGGGAGGATGCATCTTATCGTCTTTCTTGCATTGAGAATTAATTGCACAGTACGAGTATCGTAGAGTAAATGGACTGAGGAGTATGTACCAAATACCGAGTACAAGTACAGGGTGACGGGGATGGCCGCAGATGAGAAAGAGATGGATGTTGACTAGATCTGCACTAGCATCTGCAACAGAGAGACGCCAAGGAACTGTCCCTCCTTGTACTCGTGGGGCCTAGAGTAGGGCCTAGAGCAGATGTCTTTGGGGGAAAGGAACTGCGTCCGTTAGGTACAGGTACCCGCCACTTGGTACCTGACTGAGCGCCCGAGTTATCTACTCACTGCTAATAAGTAAATAGGTATTTGATTTACTGATGCCCCCCAGTACTCGGTACAATCTGTCATGGCGGATCCCGGCCCGCCAGCCGTTGCAACAACTCTATCTGCCATTAATTACTCGGTATACACCTGAGGTACTCCTAAGGTACTTGGTACTTACAAGTAGGTACGTGGGGATCTACCCAGCCAGAACCACGGTGTGTATCAATTAATGACCAGCCTACATAGGTAATATGTCTACAAAGGTATTAAAAACGTTTGTGTTTATTCCTACCACTAACACGCCTGCTGCCTCAACTTTCTGCCCTTTAGCATTTTCTCATTTTCTTCATGTTTTCTTTTCCCTCCTTTCGCCTTTCCATTCGCTTCTCTAGGCTCTTTTGAGTAAGTGATCTGTCCGTCGCCGCACCCTCTCTCGGAATCCTTCCCACACTCCTCTTGATCGTCACCATTATTCTTCGCCTCTTGACTGGCCTTCTCCTATTCCTACTAGGTAACAATACACGCGCACAAACCATACTTCCAACCAGAACCACGGCTGTTCCCCGTCTTTCGCCGTTAGAATTCCTCTCATATGCGGGCGTGAGACTTTTCCCCCATTGCTCCCTGAATCTTGAACCAACGGCTCTTTTCTCGCCCCCAGTCATCAGTTCCCACCTTCTCTCCCACCCTCCCTCGACAGGTCATGCTACAGAGCCACTCAGCCCTCACAAAACCGTTATTCCCTCCCCCTGCTCTTCTTTGTCTTGCCCGTTTCTGTCTCTCCCCGTAGCTTATCCGTCCTTTGCGCATCCACCCACAAATCTCTCTGTCGCCCCCCCGCCATCTCCGAACCCTTTTACTCTGGCACGTCCTCGGTCCGAGATCGCCGTTTTGCAAGTATCAGTACCGAATTACCAAGACCACAATACGATAACAGCGACCCCGTCAAAAAAACAAAAAAATCGTGATCTAACGAATTTGCTCGCTTGTCTCCAAAACAGACGTTCTAGTCGAGCCTATGGATTCCTTGGGGCCTTGAACAGTTCCAGCAAGGTACGGGGATCCAGACACGGTCTATTGCGTTGGCTTGTTCTGGGTCTCATGCTCCATCCTTCCGGGTCCCGACCAGCACCGCCGGCCCACCACACGATCCGTTACAATTTTCCAACTGGCAAACCATTGACCCTCCCAACCATCGGCGTCTGGCGTCAGTACAACGACAATAATTTACTTGGGGACCATGCTTTGGTCGCCTAGAATCACACCTACCCGTCTTTCCGCAGCTGCGCAGCTTCGCAGCTTGACTGACTGAGTGACTTGACCACTTGCCTGCCTGACTGCGCTCGCTGACTGACTGACTGACTGACAGAAATCGTCCTGATCACAGAAACCAGCAGAAATTTCGCCATTCCACCCTTCGCTAGTCTCTCTCTCACCACTTAAACAAACGCCTCTTTCCCCCCCTTTGGAAACGCTCTGGGGGACTCCGTCTACCGCGTTGCCCTACCACACTTGCGCAAGTCCGCCATCGAATCCACTCGCCTCGCTCTCCACCCTTTTTCCCTCCTCCGAATATCCTAGTACCACGAGATCGGCCGCACGCATCTTGCAGCTTGATACATCTACCCGTTGATATCCTCACCATCTTCTTCCGAAGTTTCTAGCTTGGCTCCTTTCTTCCTTCCTTTGCTCCTACATCAGCGCACCGCCGCTGCAAAAGGGTCTCTCCACAACTCGATTCTCGTCTGTCGGTTTAGACATTTCGCTACCTCTAGATCGCTGCATCCAGATATTGATACCCGTATGCCTTGATCTCTTCCCCCGAGAAACCCCCCTGTGAGCCTCGGCAAAATTCAGCCATGAAGCCTGGCAATACCACCAGTGGCCTGTCTCCACCTTCTACCGCGTCTCCCGCTGGTGTCACCAAAAGTACCTCGTTGCCCATTTCACGGCCAAGCAACTCGGCATGGGACAAACCTGAACGGGCTCGAACCAGTCACGCTTGCGAACCATGTCGCGAGCGGAAGACGAAGTGTGATGGTTCCAGGCCTGCATGTCGGAGGTGCCTTCACACAGGCACCGCTTGCTACTATGGCTACGGCAAGGGCTGGAGGAAGCGGAAGTAAGCTTTTGCAACTTCAGCCCCCATTGATGAGTGTGCTTGCTTGCGAATGTAGATGCTGACCATTGAAAACCCCCCACTCTCCAGGACTGCAGAGGACCTCACAGCAACCTCGCGGCGTTTGGCGCGGTATGAGAGCCTTCTCAATGAGATCTTGCCAATGGTGTCGCCAGAGGTACGCGCCTTGATCGAGGAAGCGCGTGACATCGTAAGGCTATCTTCTTGCTGCTGATCGAGCCTGCACGTGGCTACGTTGCTAATTTGTTGTAACAGGATACCGCGGTGTCAAATAACGGTTCCGAGACGGCGGAAACAGATCAAAATTTCCTCCCTCCTGCTTTACTCAAGTCCGAGTCGAGCCTGGCAGCATCGGGAGGCCGCATCATCCTTCCACTCCCCGTGCCCAGCCCACACGCTCCAGCACCCTCGCGCTCCTCGACATCGTCGGGGACGTTTGATCCAGTCCCCCCGCCGCACACGATCGCCAGCACAGGACCAGGATCTACTGTCCAGACGGCGTCACGACTCTCGCCCGAATCTAACATCTCGGGAACACGATTGCCGTCTATCACTGC